CACAGATTTGTCATTGTACGTTTGATCCATTATCCGAGCTAAAAGAGAACACCTTCCCACACGCTACCGTTTAGAATGTTATGTGCTCAGACATCACCGACACTACTTTTTAGGGTTGAATCCCTACACATGGTTTGGTAGAGAGAGAGAGAGAAGCAATGTTCGGATAGGCTATGGTTAAAAAGTTAAACATATTGGTCGAAAGCTTACCTGTCTTCGAAGAAAGAAAATGAAGTTCAGATTCTTTTCGAAAACTATCCTAGTAAATGTGTGGTGTTTCCTTCTTCTTCATGCATGGGGAATGTGTGGTACTTTACATAAGTTATTAAGACTCCCACCTTAAAAAACCTCCAAAAGTTTAATAACTTAATATATACTTTTTTTGTGAATGAAAACTTAATATATTCCTTCAATAATCTTGTTATACACAATCTTCGTTGTTAGGTTGTTATGTGTTTCATTAATCACGATCAGAGCGAATACAACACATGCATGTGAATCGATCTTGAAAGTTAAGAGAGAATATCTGTAGATAGAACTTTCCAGAACCCCCTCTTCCCTTCTAACACACACACACACACACACACACACACACACACACACACAAGAAAAGAAATTTACGTTGGAGTCATTAGGAAATCATACAACTGTCATCGACATCGCCAAGCTCAGCCGAATTTGGAGAACTATAACTCGGGATGTATGTTGTGGGTCAACAAAGAACTTTTATCGATGTGGCGTGTTGACCAAGGATCAACTCCATCCTCCTCAAATACCGAAGGCATCATGAGTTGTCGGTATCGTCGAGGCCAAGCACAGATATGTCATCGTAAATTTAATCTATTATCTGTTGCTAAAAGAGTACCCCTTCCCACACGCTACTGTTTAGAATGTTATGTGCCCTGACATCACCAACTCTACTTTTTGAGTTTAAATCCTTGCGCATGGATTGGGAGAGCGAGAAATGTTTTGATACGATATGGTTCAAAAGTGAATGGGTATTGGTCGAATGCTTACTTGTCTTCGGCGGAAGAAAATGAAGTTCAAATTATTTTTGAAAACCATCCTAGTAAATGTGTGGTATTTTCTTCTTCTTCTTGCATGGGAAATGTGCGGTACTTTCCGCATGTTATTAAGACTCCCCCATAAAATACCTCCAAGTGTTTAATAACTTAATATATACCTTTTTAGCGAATGAACAACTTAATATATTCTAGCAATAATATTTTTTACATGATTTTCGTTTTTCTGTTATCATGTGTTTCATTAATCACAATCAGAGCAAATACATCACATGGATGTGAACCGATAAGATGAGTTGAGAGAGAACATGTGTAGATAGAACTTTCCACAACCCCCCTTCCCAACACACCCACACACACGCACAAGAAAAGAAAAGAAATTTACAATGTAGTCATTAGGAAATCCTACAACTGTCACCGACATCGTTAACCTCCGCCGAATTCGGAGAACTATAGCCCATGATGTATGTTGAGGGTCAACGAAGAACCTTTATCAATGTGGCGCATTGACCAGAGATGATCGCCATCTTCCTCAAATCCCGGAGCCATCATCAATTGTTGGTATCGTCGAGGCCAAGCACATATCTGCCAGCGTATGTTTTGATCCATTATCTACAGCTAAAAGAGACCCCCTTCTCACACGCTATCTTTAAAATATTTTCTGCTCAGACATCACCGACTGTACTTTTTAAGGTTGAATCCCTACGCATGGATTGGGGAGAGAGAGAGAGAGAGAGAGAGAGAGAGAGAGAGAGAGAGAGAGAGAGAGAGAGCAATGTTCTTCTAGGCTATGGTTAAAAAGTTAAAGGGTATTGGTAGAAAGCTTACTTATCTTCGACGGAAGTAAATGAAGTTCAAATTCTTTTTGAAAAAACTCCTAGTAAATGTGTGGTATTTTCTTCTTCTTCTTGCATGGGTAATGTGTGGCACTTTCCATAAGTTATTAAGACTCCCACCTTAAAACACCCCCAAATGTGTAATAACTTAATATATGCCTTTTTCACGAGTGAACAACTTAATATACTCCCGGCAATAATCTTGTTATATATGATCTTCGTTTTTAGGTTACCATGTGTTTCATTAATCACGATCAGAGCGAATACAACACAATCATGTGAACCAACCTGGAAAGTTGAGAGAGAACATGTGTAGATAGAACTTTCCATAACCACCTCCCCCTTCCCCACACATACGCACACACAAGAAAATAAAAGACATTTACATTGGAGTCGGTAAGAAATCCTACAAATGTCATCGACATCGCTAATCTCAGGTGATTTCAGAGAACTATACCGCGACATGTATGTTGTGGGTCAGCAAAGAACCTTTATCGATGTGGCCTGTTGACCAGGGATCATCTCCATCGTCCTCAAATCCCTGAGCCATCGTCAGTTTTCGGTATCGTCAAGGCCAAACGTTGATCTGTTGTCGTACATTTTGATCCATTATCCGAGCTAAAAGAGAACCCCTTCCCACATGCTACTGTTTAGAATGTTTTGTGCTCAGACGTCACCGACTCTACTTTTTAAGGTTGAATCCTTGCACATGGATTGGTAGAGAGAGAGAGAGAGAGAGAGAGAGAGAGAGAGTAATGTTCTGATAGGCTGTGGTTCAAAAGTGAAAGGCAATTGGTCGAAAGCTTACTTGTCTTCAGCGGAAGAAAATGAAGTTCATATTCTTTTTGAAAACTCTCCTAGTAAATGTGTTGTATTTTCTTCTTCGTCTTCTACCATGGGAAATGTGTGGTACTTTCCATAAGTTATTAAGGCCTCCCCCTTAAAACACCTCCAAATGTTTAATAACTTAATATATGCCTTTTTGCGAATGAACAACTTAATATATTGTTGGCAATAATCTTGTTATACATGGTTTTCATTTTTAGGTTATCATGTGTTTCATTAATCCCGATCAGAGCGAATACAACACATGGATGTGAACCAACATGAAAAGTTCAGACTGAACATGTGTAGATAAAACTTTCTAGAACCCCCTCCCCATTCCCAACACACCCACACACACATAAGAAAAGAAATTTACATTGGAGTCGTTAGGAAATCCTACAACTGTCATCGACATCGCTAATCTCCACCGAATTCGGAGAACTATAGCCCGGGATGTATGTTGTGGGTCAACGAAGAACCTATATCGATGTGGCGTGTTGACCAGGAGTCATCTCCATCCTCCTCAAATCTCGGAGCCATCGTCAGTTGTCGGTATCGTCGAGGCCACGCGGACATCTGTCATCATACATTCTAATCCATTATCCGTGGCTAAAAGAGAGCCCCTTCCCACACGCTATCGTTTAGAATGTTATGTGCTCAGACGTCGCTGACTCTACTTTTTAAGGTTGAATCCTTGCGCGCGGAGAGAGAGAGAGAGAGAGAGAGAGAGAGAGAGAGAGAGAGAGAGAGAGAGAGAGAAAGAAATGTTCTGATGGGCTATGGCTCAAAACTGTAAGGGTATTGGTCGAAGGTTTACTTGTCTTCAACGGAAGAATATGAATTTCAAATTCTTTTTGAAAACTCTCTAGTAAATGTGTAGTGTTTTCTTCTTCTTCTTGCATGGGAAATGCGTGGTGCTTTCCATAAGTTATTAGGACTCCCACCTTAAAACACTTCCAAATGTTTTTAATAACTAAATATATAGGTTTTTCCATGAATGAACAACTTAATAAATTTCTGGCAATAATCTTGTTATACATGATTTTCGTTTTTAGGTTATCATGTGTTTCCTTAATCACGATCAGAGCAAACACAACGCATGCAAGTGAACCGGCGTGGAAAGTTGAGAGAGAACATATGTAGATAGAACTTTCTAGAACTCCCTACTCCCTTCCCAACACACACACAGAAGAAAATAGTTTACATTGGAGTCGTTCGGAAATCCTACATCTGTCATTGACATCGCTAACCTCTGCCGAATTCGGAGAACTATAGCCCGGGAAGTATGTTGTGGGTCAACGAAGAACCTTTGTCGATGTGGCGTGTTGACCAGGGATCATCTCCATCCTCCTCAAATCCCGGAGCCATAGTCAGTTGTCGGTATCGTCGAGGCCAAGCGCTAGATCTGTCGTCGTACGTTTTGATCTGTTATCCGTTGCTAAAAGAGAACCCCTTTCCCACGCGCTACCGTTTAGAAAGTCATGTGCTCAGACATCACCGACTCTACTTTTTAAGGTTGAATCCTTGCGCGCAGATTGGGGAAGAGAGAAATGTTCTGATAGGCTATGGTTCAAAAGTGAATGGGTATTGGTCGAAATCTTACTTGCCTTCGACGGAAGAAAATAAAGTTCAAATTTCTTTCGAAAACTCTCCTCGAAATGTGTGGTATTTTCTTCTTCTTCTTGCAGGGAAAATGTGTGGGTACTTAAGGCTCCCACCTTAAAACATCTCCAAATGTTTATTAACCTATCTACTTATACCTTTTCGCGAATGAATAACTTAATATATTCTTGGCAAGGGAAATGTGTGTTATTTTGAGGCATGGTTTTATGGCATACTCTGCATTGTTCAAATGCAAATGGAAAGGTGGTAAAAGCGGGGCAGTAACTGCGAGCAGGCGCGGCGTTTTCCTCCGCTCTATACCACCGCGTAAAAAGCTGTTTCCTTCCAAATATCAACCGCGCATTATTTCCTGCCCTGCGATCGCCTGCGCGCACGGCAAGGAAACCACCCGGAAACACGCGGCCTGCCATCCATTGCCAAAAAAACCAAGCGAGAAAAAGGAATCCCACTGCTGCAGAAAACACACCGGAGAGGCAAAAACCCCACGCGGAGCCCGAGCCCGAACGCTCTCTCTCTCCCTCCCTCCTCCTTCGCTCGAGCGAGCCTTTCCCGGCTCTCCCTCCCCTGCCTTCTCTGCCCTCTCCGCCATACTTCCCGCTTCCGCTTTGACCGCCTCCCCCCATATCTCCCTCCGCCTCCGTCTCTTCTCCATCCCACCCGCGCCTCGCGCACGCACGCACCCCCGCGAAGACCGATGTCAATGTGGCGCTTCTCCCGCCCCCTCCTCCGCGCCGCCGCCGGCGCGGGCGCCTCGGCCGCCGCGCCGCCGCGCGCGCGGGCCGCCGCAGTCGCTTTCAGGTTGCCCCCGCCGCCGCAGACGCCGTGCGGCCTCTTCCAGCAGCGGTTCCGCTTCGCGTCGCTGCCGGCGGCGGATGCGGCCGCGGGGAGGGACCCGGAGGCCGAGGTGACGGCGGAGGAGGCGAGGCGGCTCATGCGGATGGCCAACGTGGAGGCGCTCAAGCGGCGGCTCGGGGACGGCGAGGTGATCCCCTACGCGGAGCTGCTGCGCAAGTGCGAGGAGGCCGGCGCCGCCCGCACCCGCGCAGAGGCCACCGCGCTCGCCGGCGCGCTCGACGAGGCCGGCGTCGTGCTCCTCTTCCGCGACAAGGTCTACCTCCAGCCCGACAAGGTCTGCTCCGCCCCGCATTGCCGCTCCTCCCTCCCCCACCACCTCTGCATCATCCATCACGTCTCACGAAAAATTACTATAGTAGTATTCGGCTTTGCTATTTCTGTTCGCCATTTGGTTCCTCTTAAGTTTGCGTTTGGCCCGTGCTCTGCAATCATCCTCTGGCGTTTTCGAAATTTCTGAGGCATCTACGATGCATCCGAGGAAGATACGTTCACGAATATCAGCGCGCGCTCCCTGATTCGGGCCCCGGAGCCCGCTTGATTCAGGTCATTGTGCGCGTGACTCGTGAGGGCCCTAGTACTGATCGATCGGTGTTTTCCTCTCTCCGATGGTGACCACCAGCTGTTCGGTAGATTTCCTCAAAGTACAGGTCTATAGGTGCACTTGTCAAATCGGTGGTCCAATGTCCAGGGTCTGGCACGTTGTTTATTCGTCAAATCCCCACCATTGGTCCCTCAGTTTCACTCGTCGAAATTGCGCGCAACACCTGAATTCATCGTCCACTTTGTTATACGCTGTTCAACCTGAATAGCAGATTGGAGTTTTGGAACTGACCTAGCATGGTGCGCCGGGAGGATGGCAACCATGGCTGGGCCGTTTAGCCTATGGAACAGAACCAGAAGCAATGCACTTTTCGATGGCACAGAAAAGCCGTCTGGTTGCTTCAGGACGCGGCTCCAAGTGGTGGGTGGCTCACTGCGTGCTCCTCCTGAGTGCGCACGCCGGACGCACCAGTGCAAAAGTTATCTCCGTTTCTTCCATGGGGAAGAACTCTTCCGATTCAGTGGGTGATAAAGCAACCGATACCTTCTCCTCTAGCTTGCTTTCCTACGTCCTTTCTTGTCATACAGGATGGGTCATTTGCCGTGTGGAATCCGTTTTTTTTTTCTTGTTTCAGTCTAGACGGGTGGCTTCTTGTGCAGGGTGCCTATCTTGTTATCTAGTGGTTCGTTAGCGTACTAAACTACCAGTCCGCCATGCATAAAGTTTGTCGTTTGATAGCTCGATCCTTTTGTCGGTGACAAACAATGTGACTTGCCTAAAGGTTGGCGGTTTTTGGAATTACATTATTTGTTCAAGTAATTCATAATCGTGTTACCTGATTACTGTATGTTGTAGCTTTCGCTTTTCTTGGACATACTTTCCTTAGTGAAGAAACCTCCTTGTGTCACATGCTGAACATCTGTAAACAATTGTTGCCAGGTGGGCAAAACAGAAAGTTTCCTCGGGTTGGTTTGATGGCGTTCCATGTGATCAGTTATCAAATTATGAGGCAAAAGCTTAGTTACACAAAAAGAGAGTGATGTCTTTCCCAGACATTTTTAATTGATTTGGTTCCATAATTTCTACTTTCTAAATAAATGTTTAGTTTGGCAGCTCTCATGTATTTATGTTTGACTACAGTTTTGTTGTCATTATTGTAGAACTCTAAATTTAGTCTTCATCAAATACATATGCTGAGATTTCTTGCGGCGTAGCAGCAGCATGAAATTAGCTGACATTTAACATTGGCTGTAGCAGCAACTGGTACTTAACATGGGTAGTAGTAGTGGAACATAGGCTGATATTTTATATTGGCAGACGCTGATGCTTTTCTTGTTGCATACAGATTGTGGATCTTGTAAGAGAGCACTGTTCTTCTCAGACATTTATTTTATTTTTATTTGGTTTCATAATTTCTACTTTCTAAACATTTACTTGGGCAGCTCATGTGTTGTACTTACTACAATTTTGCTGTCATTATATTTTATAATAACTGTAAATTTAGTCTTCACCAGTACGTATATGCTGAGATATCTTGGGGTCTGACTTGAAAGGTCTATAGTAGTAGCGTGACATTAACTGACATTTAACATTGGAAGTAGTAGCAGCAGCTGGTACTTTGCATTGGTAGCAGTAGTGGAACGTCGGCTGATATTTAATATTGGCAGAGACTGATGCTTTGCTTGTTGCATACAGATTGTGGATCTTGTAAGAAAAGCTATGCCCCTTGCACTGACACCCGAGGATGATCCAAGGAAGGAAGAGCTCAAGCAACTCCAGACACATTTGGAAGAAATCAACAAGCTTGCACACAAGCAAGTCCGGCGTATCCTCTGGTCTGGGCTAGGGTTCCTGATCACGCAGGTCGGGCTCTTCTTCAGGCTGACCTTCTGGGAGTTCTCGTGGGACGTCATGGAGCCCATCACATTCTTCACAACTGCGACGGGTCTGGTTGTCGGGTACGCCTACTTCCTCATCACATCAAGGGATCCGACGTACCGGGACTTCATGGAGAGGATGTTCCAGTCCCGGCAGAGGAAGTTGATCCAGAGGCAGAAGTTCAACCTGGACAGGTACCTGGAGCTGCAGAGGTGCTGCAAAGATCCTCTGGAGAAGATCTGCGGCACAAGCCATTTCTCCAACGCCGACATCGCTCATCTGCACGAGTTGTCTGTTCACAAGTGACAGACAGCCCTTCCGTCGCTCTAAGACACTAATCTACAGTGCCCCCTTTTCATCTTTGATTCTCGTGGGATGATGATGATGAAGAAAGTATTAACAAACCGGATGTTTCTTGCGCTTGCGAGGTAGACCTTTGGCAAAACCTTTTTCGTGGTCTCTCTCCTATGCAAATGTCTAGGCCAGCAACCCAGTATAGTTATCTCTCTCTTTTGTACATTGCTGAAGCAGAAGCACTTGATCTTGATGCTTGTACTGCTCGTCTGTATGAACTTACCATGAGCTGTATAACCCTGCAGCCGCTGCTAATCAACCGTGTTATGGGATTCAGTAGTTCTTACTTAAGTGTTGGTTGATTGTTGCCTAAGCTCTGACGTTTGTGGTCTATTGCCCCCTTTGAATCTTTATTTTATTGCACGTAGGAGTGTTTGACCTGCTGGTACTTCGTAATGTGCCTTCATAGAAGGTATTCTTCACGCTATGGGCACTTGTGAATGATGTGCATCTGGATGCACTCTCTGAAGATATTATTGTGTGGAAGCATACAACAAGAGGGCACTACATTGCGGCCTCTGCCTACAAGGCCCAATTTCTTGGCTTGGTTCTCTCTCCCATGAACCAAATGGTTTGAAAAGCTTGGGCGCCACCAAAGGCTAAATTCTTCGCTTGGTTGGCTATCCAAGACAGAATTTGAACCGCGGATAGACTACAAAAACGTGGATGGCCAAATTGTGGTCTTTGCACCCTTTGCAAGCGAGAGCAAGAAAGTGGATCGCATCTTTTCTTCAAATGCCGCTTCACTATTAGGCTATGGAACTTGGTCATTGCAAAACTTGGGCTTCATCATATGGACACCTCTATGTGGCATCTTGAGAGTTCGGTTAAGGAATGGTGGACAAATAGGACCGGCGCCGGAGTCCCCAACAGGAAGGCCATGGCCTCTCTAACCATGCTCGTGTCATGAACCATTTGGAACAAGTGAAATGCGTGTGTTTTCCGGAACAAGAGTGCTCCACCACCAATCTTGCTAAACAACATCATCTGCGAGGCAAACCTTTGGATCACCGCCGGAGCAAAAAAATTAGGGAACATTATTTTGCGTGAGTAATCTTCCATGCTGTGTAAAAGTGTGCCCTTGTAACAAACTCTATCCTCTTCTTATTTAATAGATGAGGCAAATCTTTTGCCTCCGTTTCGAAAATAAAAAAATAAAAAATATATTTTATTAGTAGTCTGATCTTTGAGAGACAAACTGTGTCACCCAGGAACACAAAGAATAAGGATGCCATCGCATGACCACGCATCTACTCGTTGCCCAATTCACACGGGCATGACCGTACGAGCATGTGATAGTACCCACCCACACCATCACACACACGCACTCACACGACAGTCTATTGTTCTATTGAAAACCGGACAAAGTCTTCCACACGCTCCTCATTATCGGCGGAAACGTTGCCTCGTGCAAACGCTGCTTGCTATCGATGGGAAAGGTTGTGCCTCATCCATGGGCTACTCACTATCGACGAGAAACGCTCCAGGGGCGGAACCAAGGTCATGCACACGCTACTCGCTGTCGACGGGAAACGTTACCTCATCCACACCCTCCTCACTATCGACGGGAAACGCTCGAGGAGCGGAACTAGGGTTTGAGCATGGGCTGACAAGAAGAAAATAACTGCACATGTCACACAAGATGTACTAGCATAAACATGCTATATCGTGTGTTTTGGTTTTAGCTTATTTGGAACTTGTACTCGTGCCAAAATATTGTCAACCAAAAATCAGTTTGTTCGCTCAATTAGATTCACATTTTCAATGGTAGAGTGATACTAAATTATTCTCTCTTCATTCTTGAAGCATAACGAAACTTCAAAATATTGATAGAATTCCAATCAGTGTTCTATCTTTTCCCTTGTGCAATTCAAATCCTTGTGCACCCGACGTTGAATGTAGTGACGAACAACTAAGAACATAGGGCTCATGTATTTCCCACTCTCCATGAAAAGACCCCCTCTGCCGGAAGGAGGGATCCGCTCTCATTTTTGTTAGGTTTAGTGTCTTGGTTGGGGCTGTGTGGCGGTGGTGATGCCCCTCAGTAGGAATAAAGTCTTCCACGTTCTGTCCCCGTCCTGGCGGTGCGCCTAGCAACGTCGGAGGGCGTGTGGAGATGTGTTTCCGCTGGATCTCACGGGATTCGGTCAATGTTGGTCTTCAGTGGATCTATTTGGATCCAGTTTTCATTTGAATGTTTATATGTTTGATCCTTTCAATCTATGACTCTCTTCATCGGCGATGGTTATTGCTCTGGTGCGTTGGTCCCTTGAGGCCTTGGCACGATTACTTTCCTGCTATCGACTTCAACAAGGTTTGCCCGACTCCAGTGTGGGAGGGGCGATGATGGGGGTACGCCTTCGGCTCGCTTCATGCTTGTAGTCGTCACTAGGTGGCCTACGAACATGGTTATAATTTTTGTTACCTCTAGTGTTCTTTGTACTGGCATGACTGATTATGAATAGATCAAAGTTTCTCTCAAAAAATAATTCTACCTTAGTACTCATATACTAGATAGAAAGGTTTTAGCCAATAGTTTGAATCTATCTAACAAAATTACCAACTACTTCCTCCGTTCCATAATATAAGATGCATCAGTTTTGTGCAAGTCGAACTTATGTATGTTTGACCAAGATTATGGAATAAAATATCAACATATACAATGTAGAATAAATAAAATGAAAATACTTTTTGTGATGGTTCCAACGGTACAAATTTGGTACGGTATATATTGATACTTTTTTTCTAAAAACTTGGTCAAGAAACTTAATACACCTTATATTTTGAAACAGAAGGGGTAATACACACATACTAGATAGAACTAACCAATAGTTTGGTTTTGCTCGGTATTTCTGTTTTTTTTTCTTTTTTTCTGCTTTTTTGCTTAGCTTTGTTCTGCTTTTGGTGGATTTCCTGGGTTTCGTTCAGTTTTCCATCTTTCTCGGTCCTCTCTTTTCTTGAATTTTCAATTTAAGTACAACTATGTTTTTTTGCGAGGGTTGAGTACAACTACGTTACGTGATGGAGTACAAGTTGGGTTACTTATGGAGTACATGGAGTACATGCTGCATGATGGGATCACAGGTGTGCTACGCAGGGAGTGTAGATTCTAGCGGGGAGTACATATTGGGTTCTGGTTTTTTTGCATGGTAATATTGTCGGGGAACGTAGTAATTCAAATAATTCCCTACGATCACGAAGATCTATCTAGGAGATGCATAGCAACGATACGAGAAAGAGTGTCCACGTACCCTCGTAGACCGAAAGCGGAAGCGTTTAGTAACACGGTTGATGTAGTCGAACGTCTTCACGATCCAACCGATCCAAGTACCGAACGTACGGCACCTCCGTGTTCAGCACACGTTCAACATGCTGACGTCCCTCGTGCTCTTGATCCAGTTGAGGACGGGGGAGAGTTCCGTCAGCACGACAGCGTGGTGACGATGATGATGAAGTTACCGACGCAGGGCTTCGCCTAAGCGCTACGACGATATGACCGAGGTGTTAAACTGTGGAGGAGGGCACCGCACACGGCTAAGAGATTGTCTGTTGTGCTTTGGGGTGCCCCCTGCCCCCGTATATAAAGGAGGAGAGGGGGAGGCCGGCCGGCCCTGTAGGGCGTGCCAAGAGGGAGGAGTCCTACTAGGACTCCAAGTCCTAGTAGGATTCCACTTGGTGGAAGGGGGAAGAAGGAACGGAGAGGGAGAGGGAGAGGGAAAGGGGGGCCGCGCCCCCTCCCCTATTCCTATTCAGACTCCCTATGGGGGGGGGGGGCATCCCCTTGTGGGCTGTCCTCTCTCTCTGGTATGGCCCATGATGGCCCATTACTTCCGCGGGGGGTTCCGGTAACCCCTCCGACACTCCATTTTTACCCGGTACTTCTCGGAACTCTTCCAGTGTCCGAATAATATCGTCCAATATATCATTCTTTATGTCTCGACCATTTCGATACTCCTCATCATGTCCGCGATCTCATCTGGGACTTCGAACAAACTTTGGTCATCAAATCACATAACTCATAACATAAATCATCATCGAACGTTAAGCGTGCGGACCCTACGGGTTCGAGAACTATGTAGACATGATCGAGACACATCTCCGATCAATAACTAATAGCGGAACCTGGATGCTCATATTGGCTCCTACATATTCTACGATGATCTTTATCGTTCAAACCGCACAACAACATACGCATTCCTTTGTCATCGGTGTGTTACTTGCCCGAGATTCGATCGTCGGTATCATCGTACCTAGTTCAATCTCATTACCTGCAAGTCTCTTTACTCGTTCTGTAATGCTTCATCCCGTAACTAACTCATTAATCACATTGCTTGCAAGGCTTATAGTGATGAGCATTACCGAGATGGCCTAGAGATACCTCTCCGAAACACGGAGTGACAAATCCTAATTTTGATCTATGACAACCCAACAAACACCTTCGGAGACACCTGTAGAGCATCTTTATAATCACCAAGTTATGTTCTGACGTTTGATAGCACACGAGGTGTTCCTCCGGTATTCGGGAGTTGCATAATCTCATAGTCAGAGGAACATGTATAAGTCATGAAGAAAGCAGTAACAATAAAACTGTAACGATCATAATGCTAAGCTAATGGATGGGTCTTGTCCATCACATCATTCTCTAATGATGTGATACCGTTCATCAAAATACAACACATGTCTATGGTTAGGAAACATAACCATCTTTGATTAATGAGCTAGTCAAGTAGAGGCATACTAGGGACACTATGTTTTGTCTATGAATTCACACATGTACTAAGTTTCCGGTTAATACAATTCTAGCATGAATAATAAACATTTATCATGATATAAGGAAATATAAATAACAACTTTATTATTGCCTCTAGGGCATATTTTCTTCAGTCTCCCACTTGCACTAGAGTCAATAATCTAGATTACAATGTAATGATTCTAATACCCATGGAGTCTTG